TGTCCGGCGCAAATTCTGGTTGTCTCGGACAACCGGACAACGCTTATTTCGAGCACTGATGTAAATAGCTGTAGAATCACATTTTTATTCGTGACCTTAATTGTTGCTATAGGTATCTTGCACGAAATGTAACATGTAACGTTAATTGCACGTTTGCAGTTGCAATGTTGGAAAATTGCACGTAATGTGACATGCGATCATTTCTACATTTGATCGCCACGGATCGGCGTTATTTTTTAGCAGACATCAAACTATTTCATGTTTGCTGCCGCCATTAACAGCTGTCAACGCGTCACCAGCTGTTGCTTAGCTGCTAGTATGGCGTTTGATGCAATATTTCTGTCAGCTGCTCCGTCTTTGCTATATAGGCACTGATATGTTATATATGTGTATGTGATTTTAGATCAGCACATATATCTAACCTATAGATGTTCCTTTTGATACATCGTCTTTGATCACCTCGGGGCGCTCTCGTGTAAGTCGTAAACAAAGGGTCAAGTATCAAGGTTATTGAATGGTGTCTTCATAAGGCAACACTCGCTCACCATCATAGATGAAAGGCACACTATATAGCATCAGTCAAACCTGTGTTAGCGGCAATCTCTGTAGAAGGCACACCTATCTACGAAGCAGACGTTTGACACTTCTCTCGAATGGCAGTTATACAAAGAAACCACTTCTCGATCAAATGAACTCCTGTCTGTGAAAGACGTTTTTGGTGTCGCCTCTGGGTGACCCATATATACAGGGTTGGGTGTACGTACATCTGCGAGCCTAGCCAAGAAATTCGTCTGAAGAGATATGAATCTAGAAATCGTTTCGAATAAGTGTGCCTTGTCGTTGTATCCTCGCAGTGTTAAAAAAGTTAAATGCATTCCCGTGTCTATTTGGCTCATAGGGCGATGCCTATCTCCGTTTCCTCAACCCGAGGCCACGCACTTAGTTCACTGTTAGCACTACTCCTCACAGTGTACCCACTATATAATCAGGCGGCCCTCTAGATTGCTGTCTAGCTGACTATAAGTATAAGTTGTTGTAGGTGCAGCTTCTGTAAACAGCTACTCTCTACTAAGCTCGCACGAAATCAACCATGACGACTAGATTTGGCCATTTGCCGTGTTGTTGATTGGCGATTGGCCATTGTTCGAGTTTAAACTTCGAGTGGTGTTGCTAAACTGTTCATGTTTACAATTTGGTTGTGGTGGTAAAGTGAGGTTTGTGTCGAATAAGCTAGCGACAGAGCTAATAGTAGCACAAACACTAACACAACCACGAATAACTATGAGGTGTGTTGCTGATGTATCAACGTTCGTCAAGCTTCCGTGATCGTATACCAACAAGGATACAATTTCTATGATTTACTGCGTTTCCACGGACGAGCTTCTGTAGTGTATAGAGAGACTATAGACCATCAAGGTAAGAACCTACTGATGATATCGGTAACATCGTACATGCTAGCTAGCACGCACGCACACACGCACACGCATACGTACACGCACAATCGCGCACACAAACTGCAATGCACAATAAACAAAAATCTTCAAAAAAAATCAAAAAAATTGATTTATCGATCGTTAATATCTTATAATGTAACGAGTATATAATTAATTACGTGTATAACTTCGTGGTAAGGAATTTGTTACTATGTGGTGACCGCTTGTTTTGCAGGATGATCACGGATGCAGGATGCAGGATGTTCGGCTTTGCCATTGTCATTGGCATCATCGGCATATCGAGAGGTGATAAATAAAATGCTACTAGGAGTAAATGTTACTAGGAGTATATTCTACTAGGAGTAAATGTTACGGGGAGTATTTTCTACTAGGAATAAATTCAACTAGGAGTATATTCTACACACCAAACTACCGAATAAATTGCAACATGTCAATGAAGAAGAGAAGAAATATTATACACAGTTACTACAGGTGGTAAAGTGCTTTTAATTCAAAGCCCTCGGCTACCCTTCATACGTACCTACACACGTGAGTGCACACGCATTCACCCATGTACGCACGCACACACATTCTCCCAGACGCACGCACGCACGCACGCACGCACACGCACGTGTGGGGACGCGCGACAACAGCACGTATACGCACTCACGAATACGTGCGCACACACACATCATGTGTGTGTGCGCACGTGTTTATGTGCAGGTTGTATGTGTGTGTGCGCACGTGTGTATGTGCGTGCAGGTTGTATGTGTGTGTGCGCACGTGTGTATGTGCAGGTTGCATGTGTGTGTGCGCACGTGTGTATGTGCAGGTTGTATGTGTGTGTGCGCACGTGTGTATGTGCGTGCAGGTTGCTACACACGTGCGCACACACACATACAACCTGCACATAAACACGTGCGCACACACACATACACACGTCCTGCACATACACACGTGCGCACACACACATACAACCTGCACGCACACACACATACACACGTGCGCGCACACACATGCACGCAACCTGCACATAAACACGTGCGCACACACACATGCAACCTGCACATAAACACGTGCGCACACACTTTCATCATGCAACTGCAATACACACGTGCGCAACACACATGCAACGCTGCACATAACACGTGGCGCAGCACACACATGGCAACCTGCACATACCACACGTGCGCAACACACATGCAACCTGCACATAAACCAACGTGCGCACACACACATGCAACTGCACATAAACACGGCGCACACTACACATCAACCTGCACATAAACACAGTGCGCACCACACACATGCAACCTGCACATAAACACGTGCGCACACACACATGCAACCTGCACATAAACACGTGCGCACACACACATGCAACCTGCACATAAACACGTGCGCACACACACATGCAACCTCACATAAACACGTGCGCACACACACTGCAGACCTGCACGCCACATAAACACGGTCGCACACATCCCATACAACCTGCAGCATACACACGTGCCGACACACACATACAACCTGCAGCGCACATAAACACGTGCGCACACACATGCAACCTGGTCACATAAACACCGCGGTCCCGGTGGGCACACACACATGCAACCTGCACGCATCATAAAACGTGCACGCGACACACATACAACCTGCACAATACACACGTGCCACACACACATACAACCTGCACATAAACACGTGCGCACACACACATGCAACCTTGCACATAACACGCGCACCACACATGCAACCTGCACCACATAAACACGTGCACGCACTACACATACAACTGCACATACACACTGCGCAACACACACATACAACCTGCACAGTAAACACGTGCGCACACACACATGGCAACCTGCACATAAACAAGTGCGCACACACATGCAACCTGCACATAAAACACGCGCACACACACATCAACACCTGCATCGCACATAAAACACGTGCACGCACACACATACAACCTGCACATACACAACGTGCGCACACACACATACAAACCTGCACCACTAAACACGTGCGCAAACACACATGCAACCTGCACGCCCACATAAACACGTGCCAGCACACCACATACAACCTGCACAGATAACACACGTGCGCAACACACATACAACCTGCACACACATAAGTGCGTACACACACATGCAAGCGCTGCACATACACAACGTGGCGCACACACACATACAACCTGCACATAAACACGTGCGCAACACATGCAACCTGCACATAAACAC